AAATGTAAGACTTCACTAGCCAGCCTCGTCTCCATTGAATTGCACTTTTAGGAACAGTTGTTTCTTCTTAACTGTTGTCAATTTCTCTTTATTATATCTGGTGTTCATGTGTCTCCTTACAAATCTACTAGGATAACCCATTCGTGGATGTATCCTAACTCATTTTCTAGGTAGTCATCTGTACAGATATGTCTTGCTCTATTCGTGAGGCATCTGACCGAATTGATTTTGTGTCGGATTGGCACAAAACTGAGGAAATGTGTATATTGTCCTACAGATGTAGGTTTTCTATAGACATCCCTCTTGAGTGAACCATCCTCTCTTCTGCTCAACTGGACATCAAGAAAGCGTAGTCTACCATCATGTACTTCTTCACAAGCGAAGATGAGCGATGGATGTGCATCATTAAATTTTATTAACATTTCATTCTTGTCAGTTTTCACATCAAGAATAATAAACGTGTCATCAACAAAACGAAATTAAGAATCCGTTTCACATATTACTTGTTTCAATGGACTGTGATAATAATAATAATAATGGCTGTATTCCAAACAGTACTTTTGGTACATATATGGAATTTTCAGCATGTAATACAATACAGTATGTATTGTGAAAAGACACGATATGCATATAGACAATTATGGACATCAGTTTGATTGGGATAATGTCGAAATCTTAGACAGAGGAAACACCAAAAGTGCCAGGGAATTCCTCGAAGCCTGGTACTCAAACGAAAATGTAATTAACAAACACGTTAATATAGACCAAATATACCAACTAATAAAAAGTAAATCATGTGACCAGAAAGTTTAAAATCCAAGTCAATAGAAAATGGTCAATACATATGTAAAGATGGTTACCGGGAGACGCAATTATATCACTCATGAAGAAATTTAAATCATTTCACTACATGCTAAATATTGCGCTGAAGATGTCGTCCAGAAGGACGACGAAAGCTCCGCAACCAAACCAACCAGCTCAGAGAACACTATTAATTGTAATACAATACTGCATCTGATTTTCTCAGTAGTAGTAGTAATTTCCAAGTTTACACTTCACACCCAAATTAGTCTATTCTCAGACTTGTACCCATGATTGAAAATGGGACATTTCTGGGAAATTATTAAACACGGGAGAAGAAGAAACCCACAATATTTTCTAGAGATTATTCAGACTACTCACAAATTGCCAGTAGGTTATGTTGTATTGCAAAATTTGATGCACTCATTAGTTTCAGATGAGTATCAGCAAGTGTTTCACATAAAAGCACTAAGGGAAGTTTATTAAAAAATGAAGAACACTGGTGGGTTAATTTCCTCTCACATACTACTGTTACAAATATTTCTTTTTCACGCAATACTTATTCTCTGAATGCGGAGAAATGCATTTCACGGATGATTCCTGCCGTTCTGTTTGCACTGTCTATAAGAATATATGAATTCACTCAAGTTTGGTGAGATTTGTTTTCGGTAAGGTAAATGAGGACTGAAGCCATCGATTGTCGTAGTAGCGATATGTTCTGTCCGTGTCCATCATAGTCGCGTATGAAACACGCACTTTAAAACGCTGCAGTGGAAGGCAAGTTAAGTCAGGCAGTTAGTTTCCTTATGCTTGAACTGTATGCTTGTTGTCTAGCTTCAGGTCAGGTGAATTGAGTGCATCGACTGGCATCCCAAGACAGCACAACGGCCGACCAGTAGGAAGATTCTTCCTCTCCTACCCATCTGTAATAGGACTGGTTGTGATCGTAGTCATTGTTACCAGCACACGGCACTCGTGTGATCACCCTGCTTTACGCGTGCTTTACTTCCAGTTTCAAATCACTGCTTGACGATTGGCACTACAATACAATTTGTGACTGTGACCGTCTAAACTGCAGTTTCCTGACATTTCAAACGTAACTATCAGCAGTCACTCGCATAGATGTTCAAGCAGGACTGCATATCCGCCGTTGGCGCCACGGACATTGAAGATTTTCTATGAACACTGAAACGGATAACATGCGAACCGAGGAACTGTATTCAACACCTTGCAGCAGCCCGATAACTGCTGCGATAACTTCACGCATATGCACTGAAACATATTCTGGACGTCATGAAGTGACGAATATAGTAATTAAGATTATGTTCACCACATACATCTCACAAGCCAATGGTGTTAAATACTTGTCCATGCGCGAAAATACATCGCGATAGCCTAGGCATAACTAGCAAACACTCTGGCATCTCGACCCATGGATGTATGTTGTGTTTCGGATACACACATACAACACCAGAGTGTGGTCATTCACTTAACCTAACCCGGCCAACAAGACGAATCTGCAAAATTCACTTTAAGGATGTCAGGTGCCCCCTAATCTAGTTTGCGAGGACTCACAGGTGTAGGGATAGCACTGAGTGTTAGGGCGGAAAAATCAATTCTTGACTGGATCCCAGTGGATAGTCGTATGTGTGCGGTCCGTATGAAAGCTTCCGTTAGAAGAAGGAAGCACAGCGTTACCCGTCGTTGTCTTTTCGTAGTCTCCGCTTACGCCCCAACAGACTGCAGTTCGGATGAACTAAAGGATGACTTCTACCTGAAACTGTCTAATTTGCTGCAAAAAGCAAAACGTTCAGATATAGTTGTTTTAGCAGTTTTGCTCAGATAATCATCTGTTCCTAGTCAGCACTAACTTCAGGCACAAAGAGAGACATTGTGTAACCTGGCGACCTCCATCACCAAATCAACGCTGGACTCAGATAGACCACATCGCCATAGGGTATCGTTGGCGAGGGTCAGTAGAAGACTGCCGCTTCTTCTGGAACACGTGTGTAGACTCCGACCACGCTCTGGTTCGCGCACGTTTATGTTTACGTCCAAACGGACATAAGAAATTGGCGGCATCGAAACAGTTACATCCTCAACTAGATCGAGACACTGAGTCCCTATTTAAGGAAGAAATAGCGAAACGAGTGTCTGAGGTCGACAGTAGGACTTCCCCTGAGGTAGCCTGGCACAACACACAGTTAGCTGTAGACACAGCTGTAAAAGCTGTTAATAAGCTAAAACCAAAAGTTAGTAAGAGACATTGGATCTATACCGCCTCATCCGAACAGATTGATGCAAGAAAACTGGTTCAGGAGACCTCCGATTATGATGACGAGAGAAAGCTGCTCAAACGCTACTCGCAACGACCGTGAACAGTGGTGGGCCACAAAAGCGAAGGAGATGGAAAAGGCATCAGCGATTGGTAACACCAGACAACTATTTAGACTTATCGGGGAAACAGGTGGTAAAAGGCAAATGATAAATGAAACAATCTCTGAGAAAAATGGCACCATAATTAGCTCCCTGGATAGACGACTAGGACGTTGGAAAGAACACTTTGAGGAGCAGTTAAATTGGCCTACAGCCACGCCCAACTTACCCAACATCCAACACCCCCTCAATGAGATATAGACACAGGTCCTCTGCCCCTAACTGAGGTTACTAAGGCTGTCACTAATCTGAAACAAGGCAAAGCAGCAGGACCTGATGGAACGACTCCAGAAGCATTTATGTACGGTGGAGACAGTTAACTGTCTGAGTTAACTAAGGTACTAGACAGTGTCTGGGAATCAAAGGAAGTCCCGTCGGGCTGGTGTAAGTCATTGATTATCCCGATAGATACACAAGAAGGGAGACAAGTCTTCCTGTGATAATCATAGGGGGATTAGATTGACCAATATATGATATCTAAATTTCTAGGTTCAATAATAATGCGTAGACCACAGGTCCACAGGAGGAACAAACACGAGAGAACCAGGAAGGCTTTAGACCAGCAAGAGGATGTATTCATCATATCTTCACCCTTCCACAGATTCTGGAACGGAACATAGGCAAGCTTACCGGCATTGCTTGACCTAAAGGCGACATTCGATTCTGTTGAACAAGAGGTACTATGGCGATGTTTGGCCGTGAAGGGAGTTCCGAGGAAATACATTTCACTGGTTAAGGCACTCAACTCTACTTGTACTCGCACTCGTTCAGCCAGCCGGGTGAGAGCTTACGGAGAGTTGTCATCTGACAACTGTCATGACAACCAGTAGTGTCCATTAGACATGACCGCTGTCCACATTTCTATTCAATTTCATCATAAATGTACTAATGGACTTAACCCTAAGTGACTTCAGCGACTCAGGGATTGACTTGTTACAAGGGAATATGCAGATGATATAGTCCTCCTAGGTGAATACGCTGACAAATTGCAGTCTTCTGAGTTACAATCTGAGAATGTTTGGCATGCGATTCGCTCCCATCAAATGTAAGATGATGAGGCTACAGGACTGGACTACACTGACTCATAGCTTAGAAGTCGTAGAGCGTGTTAATCACTTCACTTATTTGGGAAGTTGCATCAGCCAGTCCCAACGGGTTGATCGCTGACGAAATCTCAGAACGGATACAGAGGGATAGTTTCTTATATGCCAGTTTACGCCGTCTCTGGCGTAGACGTGATATCCGGCTGGCTATCAACCAAACAACGTGTGTACTGCTCAGCAGTCCACTCCGTCCACCTTTAAGGCTGTGAGACCTGGTCATTGACGGTGGAGGACATGAAAAGGCTGGTTAGCTGTCTTTGATCATAGGTGCAAGCCTTCTATCTCCCGTGTGAAGCGGTATAATAGGGTGAGCAATATTGAGGTTAGGCATCTGTCGAGTGCTAGGGAGGTGGGAGGGGAAATCAATAGAGGAGGCTGTGAAGTCACTTCGACTGAGATGGTTAGGGCATGTGTTACGCATACCTATCCATCGCCTTCCTCAATCCACGACCAATGTTGGCTGACATAGGATCAGGTTGGAAAAGATCCAGTGGTGGTCAAACCAAAACATGGCTTCATCAGTCAATGAAATCAACAACAGTTAGTTTAAGTCACGTAGGAAGATGTAGACTTCCTGGTTGGGGTCCTCGGGACGGTAAATACCAATGGCCGGAGACAACTGGTGACATGGCTCAAAATCGCTCTCAATGGCTGGTGCAGATGCATCCACTCCTTGTGACTTATAATGTCCAATAAAACTATATCGGTCTTCCGTATTACAACTATTCTGTTTGCCTCATATCTCTGTTTACTGTCTCCAGTTTGCATTTACTTTCACTTTCTTCTCTTGCTTTGTGCGCTGAGTGAAGTGTTGTGACTTGAAGTGCTGCTGCACATCGGTGCGAAGTTCTATGTTGAAACCAGTCAGTCAGACTGTTATTTGATCAATGATCACTGAAGCAGCGGAATCCAGGATGCGCATTCCATCCTATTTCTGGGACTAGTCGGCTGCACTTACTTACAATCCTCCAGTGAGGGTGATTGAGGTTCCATCGAGACTCTAATCCATCGTTTCGAACACTCATCACTCAGTGAGAATGCAGGTAAGTCCAGATGACGAGTCCCAAAAGTACGACGGAATGAAAATCGTGGATTCCCTCGCTAAGCACCATCCACCAAGTGACAGCAATGCTAATCCTTAGACATCATCGAGGCGTCCATACTAGGAACCGACATGTCGACAAAGACCAAACATTTCGCTTGAACACAACCAATCAACAGGAAATACAAAATTAAATTAAACAACAGAAAAAACTGACTACTTACCAATCTTCACCTATATTATAAGTTAGTAATTTCTCTTTAGGAAATGTATGAACATTCGTCGGCGTAACATCACGTAAAAATTCTACGTATTCTTGTGAATGAAATGATATCATATCTTTCATACTAGCACGGTATGGTTTATATACCTTTAATTATTATTATTATTAATTTTATTATAAAGCAACATTTCCGCCTACTTTCATACTATCTGTAAGATTATAATTCACTATAAGTGTATGCGCAAGAGTAAGTCGATGCGGTTTCATTGGATGATTTTGTCCTAGAGACAAAAACAAAATATTGTTACACACAGGAGAACTCAAAGCTAACCATAATGAAAGTTCCCACAATCCGGATCATAAAAGTATACAACGCGTCTATCTTTACCCATACCGTTTGAGGGTATGAATTGAAGTTTCAATAAGCTCTTCGAAAGCTTTGCAATTTATCTGAAATAAAAAAAATTTTAAATGACAAAAATGTAAATACACATATATTTACTACCAACCAGAAGACATTCCAGGAATAAAAGTTAAGCCTTTCCAGCAGATTCATCAAACATAAGTCACACAGAGTCGCAATATGCAGTGGCTCATTGGCTTTCAGCTGATGCATAGGCAAAACTGACTGAAAAACACGACTCAACTATCAGCTAGTTCTCATTCTAATATAACCTTCTAGCCTTGCAACACATAAACTGTAGTTAGCAGGGATTCGGCCTAGTAACGTACCGCAACTGCCGCTAAATACTGCACTGATAACAACTACAAAAATGAAGCACTTCACCGGAATTTCGTATGTGGTTCTTTAAGATGCAGCCCACATCCGCAGTGAGCCTTTCCAGAGTTCTGGTCCGATCTGCCTGTTATCCAATTAGCATGTGTGCGAAAACGCTGTAGGCTGTAAGTATTAATGTAATATTTGGTGTCAGGATAACCGTGTTAGATACCATACTGGTGGCTAGCTTGCTGGAAGCAACTGATTAAGGATATGAAATGCAACAGATGAGATAACATTTCAAAAAGTAACGAGCAGGCGGTGAAGATACAGACTAATGTGAAGATGGTAAAAAATAGGCATTACAGCTCATTTATGAGAACGGGTAAAATGATAATGAAATGAGTGTTCAGATGTATAGATCATGAATCGATAAGTTCGCTAAGTTGTGACAACATGTGGCTAAGACATCTTTTCCAGCGAAATGCAGTTCACAATGCTGATAAAATTCTTACTAACGAACAATTCGGAAAAGGACCATTTATGCAGGGAACACTTAGGTAATATTGCCATATCTGATAAACAGCGATAACCTAAACATTCACAAAGTTTCGTAAGAAAAACAAGTTACTATTTTGAAATGTGTGCTGGACAGACTGACAGTGGTTTCCAGGTTATACCTGAATATCAAAAGTGTGGATACTACCAAGATGATAAAGACTACCAAGTGCCTGATAGATCCACGAAAACAAAGAAATACCTAGAGCCGAGACACAATAAAACTGGAAAAACAACTTGGTATATCGAAAAGTAGTAGAACACTCGCATTAGACAGTGAAACGGCAAATGTCCTATTCGCTCAAAATCACAGCACACTGTTTTTCGGATGTCAACAATGGAGGAGGGTTGACCATTCGAGAGAGCAAATAGCTTCAGTCCCCTTATACAAAAGCAAATAAATTTCCATTATTCCCAAAAGGTTCATTACCACCAACTTCAGGAGCGAGATGAGGACTATGATGTTGATTAATTAAACATAATTCTAATGTCCATTAGTACGATAACAACTGCATGAACACCAAAGCAGTTCCACTTACCCATTTCTTAGACATGGGTAGTACGTGAGTTTCGCAAGCAGACAGCCACAAGCAAAATACGAATGATATATGACGGATCTTACCACAGAGTGAACAAAGTTCAAAGGGTGTAGCGCAAAACTTAGAACAACGCAAAAACCACAAGGTCAGGTTTCAGTTTTGTTGGTTGAGAATAGAAGGCTTGGAGCCTATGTTAATCCCTTTCTAGTAAATTTCCGTGCTTGTCCAAACCCTTCTTGAATGAGTCAATTGAGGTTGCTGACACCCCTTCTTCCGGAAGTCGGTTCCAGGAATTTTTGACATGGTGTGAGAACCAATACTCCACACCAACATATTTTTTCCCTGGTTTTTGGACTCTCCTGTCATGTCCTCTAAGGTATTGCTGCCATCTGGTGGAGACAGGGAAAAAGCAGCATAGATCAGCTCCGTAGTGATTATTTAAAATATATTAAACACTGTAATGAGACCTCCCCCACTGACTACGGTATGAAAGGGAGAAGAGATTTAAACTGTTTGGTCTCTCCTCGTGTAATAAACTAGTCATACCAAGAATCATACGTGTTGCCTTTCTCTAAACCCTTTCTAGTATATGTGAGTCCCCTCTAAGACAAGGACTGGCTGGCTGCCTGGATAAAGTTTTCCAGTCTCGACCTCACCAGAGATGTATACGAGGAGGTGGACACAGCTCTAGTGGTTACAGTAAAGGCCCTACGAATCGCCTACAAAAATCTGAAACTGCGTGCTACCACAGCACGACAACGTACTGGAGTTTTTTAAATCATGACACCTAAATCCAAACGGGCCTGAACTGTTGGGAGTACGATTATCTCCACTTCGTAGGAGCTGAAGCTTGCTTGTCTAGTGAGCATGGTTGCACATTTCGCTACGTTGATCTGTAGCATCCATTGTTTGGACCACTCCAACAACTTGTTGAGGTCTCCTTTCAATGAGAGTGTGCAAAAGTCTCCTTTCAGCTCCTGTAGCACCCCTATATTAAGCCTAACTGCACGCTTACAAAAACTAATTCGTGTACCCGTGTTATACGCTGACGGAAACTAGTCTTACTTATGCTTGTTGAATATTCACCACTGTATTATTGAATATTAGTTTTCGCTTGATTTATGTATAATTCACGCGGTTACGTACTTTTCGTTCACCTCGCGCCTTTTAGCAGTCAGTCTCGTTGACAGTACATCTTTTCAATTTTTCAGTTGTGCTTCTTAATAAACGTTGTTCGTCATTGACCGTGTTCAGCGTTAGCACACATTAGAGCGTGAAAACGTGGATGTACTGTGGCACAGTAATCGGAATCATCTTCAGTATGCCATGCTCACTCCTAAATTTCAAATCATCTGCATATGTGACCATTGGGGAATCGAAGACCACGGATATCTCTTCGGTATACATAATAAATAAGAGGGGCTCGAGGGCAGTGCCTTGTCGTACTCCACTACGAACTGCTATCTAGGATGAGGATAGTTTTAAGTTGATCCTGAATCTCTATCTGTCTCCTATTTGTGAGGAATTCCCTAATCCAGTCAAGTAAACTGCCTCTAATTCCAAGGCCTTTCAATTTTGTGGGCAGTTTTTGTGGGTTAGTTGATCGAAGGCTTTGCTGAAGTCTATGAAGACGACGTCGACGGGTTTTCCGTTTTCACATGACCTGACCCAGCCAGCTTCCTCCTGCTCCTTAAGGAGGTTTGACAACCACTGAGATGTTTCTTCGGCAGCTGTACTATGCTCTAGACCAAAAGCTCTTATTTTTCAAATATCCTATGGCAGCCTATTTGATGATTCCTTCCAGTATCTTGACTAAGGTGCTGGTGAGACTAACAAGCCTGTATCTTGAAGAGCTATGTCTTGATCCTCCTCTGTGGATGAGAGTTACTATGACGGCCTTCCAGTTACGCAGCAACACTCCATTTAGGTGAGATAGCTTGAAGATCATAGTCAGTCGGCCGACTATGTGATCTGATAGTTCTTTGACAAGCCTTGGATGAAAATTATCGAGAAACATTGATTTCACATCATCTAGTCTCTTTGGGTAGTTGTGCACGACGTCTTGGTCGACATCATCAGAGTGCATCCTGTGTTCGTCTGATGCGGCCAGAGCTAACGGGGAATGACGATCCCTGTGCAAAGACTTTGGGGAAGTAGTCGGCCATTGCTTCTGCTCTTGCCTGATCCTCTTCGATTGTACTGTTTTCGGTAGTCAGGTTTGGGACCCCATCAGATGTATAATTACTGAGTTTCATGTACAAGGGAATTTCAGTAGGTTATGCGGTTGCTTTTTAAGCCAGATGCATTTCGAACTACATCATTGATTATCGGATTTCCGCAATAGCTTCGTTCTTATCGACGTCGTCCAACTTTCTGCTCTCAGAGTTCTCAAGTGTAATAAATGGCTTCCGGAATTTATGTTTACGCCTGAGTAATTTACGAATCTCTCGGTTTATCCAAGGTGGCTGTATTTGCGACCCTCCGGGACAGTCCAATAGACGGAACGTTCGGTCAGCTGAGCGTATGGTTGCCTAAACTGGTTGCATGCAGCTTCTACTTGGGACGGTAGCATTTGCGTCAGCATTCAAAACAGTTGGACGAGCTAGGGTTTTGGCCCATGACACTGCTGCTGTGAAATCGAAAGTGAGTGTAGCATGACCACTTCTTTCTAAGGGAAGAAGGTGTTGCATGAGGTCCTATGTTCCTCTAGGAATTAAAGGAAACAACAATAGTATAATAATGAACTATAATTCCATTGATCTTACTTAACAAATCGACATTATTTAAAAAAAACAATATTGTTACTGACTACTGTTCGAGAATATTCTATGTATATGAACATATATAATTGTAGAGCCAGAAGAGGAACATATTGAATTAAATTATAGGAAGTTGTGTTGTTATAACTAAATAGTCATATATATTTTTTTGCGCTCATTGGCTATTTATCACTGATTTATAAAGGTTATATATATGTATAGCAATGGATGGCGGCACACACGGCTTATGGAGAGTCTGAGCACTTCAAGGTCACTTACGCATATTGTGATTGGTAGATTTTCCTTTGCGTAAACGCTGTGGATAATACGTAGCAGATGTTACTGAGGCGGGCTTTGAAATGATAATAATAAAAATCGCATAAACATTACATTTTTCAGCTTAATGGAACAAGCTAACATATGTATAAATTTACAGATGTGATACGCATTGGATCCATTGACAAAAAGAATATTATTCTGTAACTTATTCAAAGAGGTATGAAGTTTGAAGATTTTGTCTTTTCTCAGCTGGTTGTGACGGACGGATAGGAGAGGCAGTTGCGTAATATTTGCATTTTGCAGAAGACAAACTGTGAAAGATAAATCGGAAGTTCTATAATTCTTCAAATGTGTCATGGAATATATGTACTAATCTTACCGATTCCACTATTGTTCCCTCCCTTGTTCACATATTCATTGTGGCTAAGATAAGGAATTGTTCACTTGAGGTAAGATTAATTCACCTGATATGTATGCATCCTTAGATATTTCTCAACGCGGTTGGAGGTGGTCGAAGGAATACAATCTCAATCTTTGCATGGAAGGATCACGACCAGTTTCTTCCGAAGGATCGGGTGGTGCTGAAAGCTATAAAGATAGGTCATGTCACTATCATCTGAAGGAAACTGATCCATATACTGTGGATCGTACTAAACTCGAAAGAATAGAGGGATGCCATTCTAAGCAACTCTCAAATTCCTAATGGATCAGGCATATATGTGCGTGCCGACTTAAGCCTATCAGAACATGTCAAAAGACAGTCTGAGGCCCTTGAATAAAGGTAACGACGTCGAAACGGCGAAAAGAACCTTAAGATTAAGGGCTTTTGGGTTGTCAAAGTTTGCGGTTTAATGATCCCGAAACCTCTGTGGGTAAGCTGCGGAAGCACCAAACTGGATTGACGGTTTGCTACGCGAACGCCCGCAGCCTGTTGAACAAACGAACTGAGTTGGGTAATACAACAGACTCCGGAAATCCGGATTTAATTATCCTCACGGAGATATGGCTCACACCCCATGTCACTGACAACGAAGTTAACCTGCCAAACTTCGAAGTGCATAGGGTGGATCGACTAAACCGCAGAGGAAGTGGCGTAGTCACTGCCTCACGAAAGTGAGTCGTGCGAACTTCTACGCTGCAGACATAAATGCATAGGCCAAGACATTGACCTCATTGCTGTATACCGCAGTCCTGACTGCTTTGCAGATGACTTCCTAATAACGGAGCTAGACTCCTGGACTTCGAGATGTCGAAGTCCCGTAGTCGGCGACTTCGACGCCCCAAAGTTGACTTGACAAGCTTTACAACTCCATCTTCAGTCAACTACTTTGATCATAAACTGCTGGAATCTATTATACGCTAGCCCTGGTCCAACATGTTATTAAGCCCACGCGTTGTGACTCACAGCACTCCTCCTCAACTCTAGTCTTCTCCCATGGTGAGGATGTGGATCTCATACAACAACTTCCTCCTCTAAAAAGAAGTGATCACGCCAGGTACACTTTCAAGCTCACAGCAACAGCAGCAAGGGCAAAAACCCCAGCTCGACCTAACGTTTGGAAAGCTGCTACAAATGCGATCGTCTCAGCAGCCAACTCAGGGAACTGGTACATCAACCCAGAGTCCTAAGTAGAAGCCTCATGGAACCAATTTAAACAAATTTATGCCCAAGTAACTGAACATTTCACCCCTTGGTTTGTCCCAAAGGGTCGGAAACATCACCCTTTGAATAAACCGAGTGAATCGTAAGTTACTCAGAAATAAACACTAATGTTGGAGCCTGTTTGCCACACTTGGGACTCCTGAGATCAGAAAATTTTACAACACCGTTAGGAACAAAGCTATTGCAGAAATCCGCCAATCAAGGATGAGGTTCGAAGCACATCTTGCTCAAAATGCAAAGGTTCAACCTAAGAAAATTTCCTCGTAGATGAACTTCGGGAATGAAACATCCAATTGTGTCCCAAACCTGACTATTGATAGTGACGCAATCGAAGAAGATCAAGAAAAGGCAGAAGCAATGGCAGACTACTTCTCCCAAGTCTTCACACAGCAGTCATCACTCCCTATATGATAAGCTCTGGCTGCATCAGAAGAATGCGGGATAGATTCCGTTGACATCGA